AATACAAGTTCAGTGACAGATGAATGGATTTAAAAAGTGTGGTGGATTCATACCATGTAATATTATTCTGCCTCAAAGAGGAAGGCGATTCTGACACAAGCTATAACATGACCGGATCTTGGAGATATTGCACTGAGTGAAATAAGCCGGTTGGACAAAAGAATAAAAATTCATTCCACTCATACGAGGTACCTAAGTCATCAGATTCACAGAGACGGAGTAAATGGTGGTTGACAGGGGCTGGGGATAGCAGGGATGAGGAGTTACTGTTTAGTAGGAACCAAGGTTCAGCTTTAATTTTATCTATTTATTTTTTGTATTTCAGGGAAGGGTCTACAGGGTGTTCAATGTCTTACAACTGTATGTAGTGATCCACCTGTTTACAGCCTCCCAAGAGCTGGGATTATAGGCGCATACCACCACCACGCCCAGTCTCAATTGCGATCTCAGTGTGCCCCAGGGGCGGGGCCAGCAATCCCGGACCCCTGTGCCTGCTTGCAGGCGCTTTAGTCCAAGGTTCAGCTTTACGAGAAGAAAAGTCCTGCTAATGGAGGATGGTAATGGTTATACACCCATGTGAAGGTTCTTAAGGCCACTGTACTGTAAAAATGGTTAAAATAGAAAATTTAAAAAAGTGATGAAAATAGTCGACTTTGGTATGTGCAGGATCACTTTTTTATTTTTTAAATTTCTTTTCTTTATTTTATTTTATTTTATTTTATTTTTTTGCAGTACTGGGGATTGAACTCAGAACCTTGGGCTTGCCAGGCAAGCACTTACTCTACTGAGCTATCTCCCTGGCCCAGGACCATGTTTTTAAATGGCAAGGGCAGAGCTGTGAGGAGAAAAACGAAGCATGGCAAAGGTAGATGAAAATGGGATGGAGTGCGTGGGGTCATATTTAAGCCACCTGGATGCTACGGGGAGTCATTTTATGAAGCCCTTGATTGATCTGTTTTTGTTCAGTGTTTTCATTGATCAGCTTTGCCCGGACACCTCTCCATTATTATTCGCATCACTTCCTGTTTCCCTGACCTCTAAATGTTGATGGGTCCCGAAGAACCTCTTTTTGAGGCTCGCCTTGCCTACTTAACCCACTTAGCTGTGTAAGCCTCCCGTCTTCCTATCTCATTTCCCGTGTGAGTTTTCTGCAAATTAACATCTCACCTGACCTCTCCGCCCAGGGGCAGCTTCAGCTGCACCTGTCTGCGGACGCCCAACCCACCAGCCTCTTGAGCTCCATTCACCCAAACTGAGCTCATCGTTGGTCCTGGTTCCCCTGTTTCTGGCTTCTGTGAAAGGCCCAGAACACTTGGTTCCCAAGGGTGAAAACATGTGACTCTTAGCTGGGCGTGGTGGCCTCGGCCTCTTCCCTGCCTGGAAATTCAAGCAGCACTGTTATTGAAGGTTCTAGAGTACAATAGTATGAAGCCAGGCATGAGGACAGATTCCTGTTAATCTCATACTGTGCGGGATTGAGAACAGCAAATTCAAGCCCAGCATGGGAATTTAGCAATTTAGCAATACCCCATCTCAAGAGATAAAAGGGCCTGGGGTTGTAGCTTAATGTGAAGGACTTGGGTTCATGTTTTTGTCTTTTGGTACTAGAAATCAAATTCAGGACCTTGTGCTTGCTAGGCAGGCACTTAAGCCACTGAGTTATATCCCCAACCCTGGGCCCTGGGTTCAATCCCAGCAAAATATGCACACGTGCGTACACACGCACACATGCACACTCGCACAAATACAATCTTATGAATCCCCCATTCCTCTCCTTATACTCCAGTTCAGCCCAGCTGCTGACCCTGGGGCACTTTCTCTCCGGAACCGCTGCACCTTGTACAAGTCCCTTATTTCTCCATGTACTGTTTGTGCCTGGCTCAGCCTTCATCCTCCCTGAGTGGACTTCTGTTGTCTCTCTCTGAGCCCCCAGTATCCCTTCACAGGTTTGCTGCCAAGAGCAAGCCAGGGGAGGCTGTTCCTTCTGCTCAGGAATCAGATACATGGACAGGGCTCCTGGTGCACACAGTGCAAATCACATTGACTGCACGGCAGCCCAGAGAAGAAGGTAGTTAAGTGGGCAACTACTGCAACTGGGCTGGTGCTCAAAATCAGGCAGGTGCTGGCATTTCAAAGCAGCCACCAATCCACGGAGGGAGGGGGACAGCGGAGCCATTTACAATAAAGGTGGTTCGCAAGAATGAGGCAGGTGCTGAGACTAGAATCTGGAGGGGTGGGGCTCAGGGTGGGGGACAAGACAGCTTCTTGGGTGGAAATCCTGTTTTGCACGGGTGACCAATAGCAGTAGAACTTGGGGGTTCCCTGTCTCCGCTAGACTTGCATGCTTGGAAACCCTAAGGGAGTCTCTGCTCTGGGTCTTCACTTGTGTGGAGCCCTCAGCCTAGGTGTGTGCTGGCAGGCCTTTGACAGACCAGGGCTGACACTGCAACCCCAAATCCACTTATTTACTGCAAAATGCCATCAGTGCAATGAAACCCGAGTACTGAGGTTTTAGTTTAAAAGAAACAAGACACACATGAACATCTTTTGTCTTAAAAGCAAAATAAATAACATGAGTGCCAGAGGCTCACCACCACTGGCTTAGACTATGCCTCTTCCTCACAACTCCCACATGTCCAAATCCTACTTTCCTAAAGACTATGATTGAATGCTACTTATTTCTGAAGCTATCACTCATTCTACAAAGCTGTGTAATCATTCTTAGACTTCGTTAGCCTTCCACCTCACTTCCCTCTGTACTGCCACCTTCAACCATGAACTGTCATCACTTATTGCCATTGTATTAGACTAAGAGATTTTGTGGGCAAGATTCACTCAACATCAAACAGAATACACTGTTCTCCGTTCTGTGTCACCCTGCTCAGACCTGTTAAGTTCACTGTGGTTTGCCCAAGAGCTACTCGCTAAATATTTCCAGTCTCATTCCTCTGAACCCCTCATGCCTGAAGCTTATATGGGTCATTTGGGCAATGGATTGTGAAACAGCCCTAGGTCTGTTTGGTTGGAGACCTTGTCAGTGTTCTTTTCCTTTGGGGATGGCAATCACAATATTTGAGATGCTGGCTTCTTACTCTTCCCGAGACCCCTGAAAATACAAAAGATCAGGTCCCCCTTCAGTCTCCAGGTGATGGGTGTGTGGACCAAGAAAAAAACTTTGCCAAGTTGTGTTTTACAAGAGTTAGCTTTCAGTGACTGAGGGCTGAAGGTTGTTATTACTGCACCACCGAGCCCATACTGACGAACATTTTTATCTTGCGGTTCTTCAGCTCTAGACAGGGCCAGTGCATGCCCAAGCCCATGGGCTGACCTGATGGAATGCCTCTGGTGAGGGGAAGGGTCTCCTTAGGCACTGGTGCCCTTTCGGCAGTTCAGTTCCTCGAAGAGCACCAGTAATTTAGATGCAGATGCGCAGAAACGGATGTACCATCCACTCTCCTCTCTACAGGCTGCCTTCTAAATTAATTAAAAGCTGGGGGTGAGCAGAGAGGCAGAGAGGACATTCTATTAATTTCCAATGTTCTCTTTACATTTTCGAGTCTGCAACAGGAGTTTCCACGGCTCTGCCAAGTTGTGTTTTACAAGAGTTAGCAGGATTCCTTTCCTGGTGGGTGAAATCAGTGTACTTTCCACATACTGAGTGTTACCAATTCCCCAGAGGCTCCAGCGTCTGCAGAGGCTGCTTGTGCAGTAGAACAGCCCAGGCAACAGCCCAACCCCGTGTCCCGAGCCACAAGCCTGGCACAACCCAGGGGAATCCAGCCTGCTGCGATGCACAGCTGTGTGTTGGGCTGAGTGATAACCAATAAGCGCTTTTCTTTACCTCTGAGGGGAAGTGGCTATATCTACATGAAACAGATTCTAAGCAAGAGTTTTACGATGTGTGTGTGCGCTGACTGCAGAACCTTAGGAACAGAAAATGACAAGAGAAATGGGCAAGAGACAGAGATTTAATTGAATAAAACTCCAGGCTGTGACAGGGTTGGGAAGACACAAAGCAGTAATTAACAACATAAGTTTTTAAATGATGATACAATTAATTAACATCCTGGGTAAGCGCAGAGAGGGAGGGCGGGCATCTTTCAGCCCGGAAACACTGCTAAATGAAGAAGGGAACTTTGCATTTTGAAAAACATCTATGTGCAAATGGCCCTGGTTATCACGGCTTTAGCAACACTCACAACCACCACCCAAGAGGTTTCTCTTGCCTGGGGAAGCTGACAAGTGATTCAACTTTGAATTTCAGTTTATTCTGAAACCTGGACTTCAATTTATTCTTATACATGGAGAGATACCAGGCTAACTAATGAAATTGGCAGCCATTCAGCTATCATTCTGGCTTCAGACTGAGGACTGGATTGGGGTTGTGTGTGGGAAATGCTCCTGGGCTGATGCTCTGGGGTGCAGGAGGTTAGGGGGTCCAGGGGCTAAAAGCCTTCCTGGAGTGCCTTCCCGTGTCGGTAGGAATTTGCCGAGGCTGCTGGAGCTACAGCGGTAGCTGTTGGGTGGGGTGGCGTGGAGGCTGGCCATAATCTGTTCAGGAAATGATCTTCTGAGACAGTTGGAGTGTTCCCTAACAGGAAAGAGCCACTTGGTATAAGAAAAACCCCTCAGGCGAGCAGTATTTTCCATGATTCACACTAATCACACTTCCTTCTCCAAAAGGTAAGGATGGGTCATCTTCATCTGCCTAAGGATGTGTAGAGGACACCTGGATGTGCATTTTGAGCTCACTTTTGGAAGAATCCTCCCACACTAATTTCTGGGCTCCTTGTGGCCCAAGAAACTCAATTGCCTGCTTCCTAGTTGCAAGGTCAGCAGCAAGTGCTCAATGACTGAAATGGCCATCTCGACAGGGTTAATCTGAAGGCAAGAAACAATGGAATGTGCTGCCTGCTGGGAGTGCTGTCATGACCTTGGGGTTTTTCTAACTCAAGAGGACATCCAACCACAGGACTGCCTGACCAGGGAAGGCCATTTATCACAAGACATTAGGGGAGACAAGTTACCTGTGCATTAATCCCTGGCCTAAGGTTCAGTATAGAATGCAGTGTAGATTTATCTACATTTACTTTTCTAGGTGGGAAACATCTTTTGCCACAATATCCTGTTAGCTGATGTCCAATCTGGTGGCTTTCAGGGCTGGTGGACACTACCTACCACTGTATCAGCAGAGAAACAGGATAACCTGGCTTAAAATGAATGCTACTTTAAAGTTGCTGCTTCTATAGCACGTAGTGTATAGAAAGAATAAGACGTAGGATGGCTGACTAGCTTTTGTGCCCTTGACTTTCCATTGTTGAAAGAAGGGGCTCAGTGCTGACTCACTCGCTTCTTGCAAATCCTGTACACAGGTGGAAACTGGTGCTGAGCGGTCACTGACTGGAGTGAAGAGTCCCCTTCTCGTACTTACCAGGGCCATACAGATTGAAAGTGAGCAAATTAATCTAGTGATAGGCGTTTTTGGGAGGGCCGTTATTCACTCAATAGGAATGCACTATTATAATACACAATAGTTCAAACTTCTTTTTTCCTAAACTGAATTTGGCCTAAGTGAGAGATCTGCAGGAAAAGCAAACAAGAGCAAAACCTCTCGCAACCACTGAAACAAATGACACTGTGTACCTAATTGATTTATAGAACTAAAGTTTAAGATGAGCACTGCCCCAGAGTCCGTGGGGTTAAAGTAGGCTTGGGCTGCCTGGGTTTCCACAAAGGAGATCTTCCCAGACAGACCAACTCACGCTGTGGCTCAGATTTCAAAGCTCTCCATTCACAAAAGCAAATTGTATCCGAGTTTTTCTTTCATCTGTTGAGGCATGTAAAACAGCTGATTGACACTTGGTGGAGTGATGAAGGCATATGAAATGCAGAAATCACTGTGGAACACATGTGCCTCTCTTTCTCTACAGTGAAGGTTATTTTTGAGAACAAATAGCTTGTTTTCAAACAAATGTGCTCGTTCACTGTGGCACATCAGAAAACATATGGTGCGGTGAGTTCCAGCAGATTCATCTCGAAAGAAGGTGACTGAGCCCCAAGAGGAATCAAGTCATTGCTAGTCTATGAGGCAAGCTGATGAGAAAGGGAAGCAAGGGCGGCCTCTGCGTATCTGCCGGAGGTTCACAAACACTGCGTAGGTCCTGTGACTTTGACATGGGACCAGGAGTCCACATCTTGGCTTAGGCCACACCAGTGAAGTGCTTCGAAGAGTAATAACCTTGTACAAGCTCTTGATTGAGTTGGACCATTCCTGCAGGGCCCCAGAAATGCGCCGTAGCTCCACCCCACCGCCGCCTACAGGGCCGTGGAGCTTGGTGGAGACACAAAATTTCAGAAACTCAATCTACCTTTCCCCCAAAGACTGCTATTTTACACGGTATTTTATATAACCAACTTCTGGACTCTCTACTTTTTGTTTCTTACTCATTGTTTGTTTTGTTCCTAGTTTTGTTTTTTTCTTCTTTTCTGGACAGCAGACCCATACAAAGTGAAAACCACAAAAACATCACCTTGAAAGACAGAGAAGACTAAGACGGATCTGACCACACAAGTGTCTCGGTCTTGACCTACACACAGGAGCAGTTAAGACTGGAGTGGCAGACGGACAGCGGCTGCCTTGGTGACCGCACGACACTGCATTTAGATGGCTGAACAAGTGCAAAAAGAACATCACTGAGTCCCGTCTGTGCGGCTCGGCCGTGCAGCTCATGGTGTCGGAGGTGGTTTCGGAGATGGGCACGAGCTCTCACTGTCGAAGCTGGCAGCTCGGCCCTGCCACTGCAGGGAGGAGGAATCACTGGTTATCAACGGCATAAGGGAATTGACATTTCAACTTCCAAAACTGAACTAGCCCATGCACTGAATTCACTTTTCCCGGCTTCTTGATTGTTGCTGTCAGCCATGCAAAAAAAAAACATAATGAAAACAGCTTGGCGCTTCTAGTGTGACATACTTGATTTTTGAAAAAGATCTATAGCAGAGATAATTTTAGCTTTCTTCACAATGTGGCGTGTATGTGTGTGTGCGCGTGCATGCACACGTGTGTGCTTTAATGAGGTGCAATGACTGAACCATTTCTGAGCGCTTCAGCCATTTTTCACACTGAAAATCAGATTACATTAGCAGCGAAAGAGGCAGTCTGTGGAGTATGGCCTTACTGCCAAGAAGCCACAATCATGAATTATTAGCAGTTTGTCTGGGAGCTGTTGGTACAGAAAGAAACCTGAAATTGCTTTGGTTTGAGGCTCTCTTTTTCAGACTTACAGGCATTTGGACCTGGCAGTGAAGAGGTAGGGGGAGTCAGGAGGGGTGACCTCTTTCCAGTTTGGGATGCCCCTGCCTAGCTCTCTGGTCTGACAGATCACCTCCTCTCAACCTGACTAAGCACTCTGTGGAAGTTGGTGATGCACTGATGCGTCATGGAGTGAAGGGGCGGGCTGAAGATGGATGGGCCTGGGCCTTGAGCCATTCAAAGCTCCTTTAACTGGAAAAGCCAGGCAGACACAGCAGTGTTTCTCAGCAAGTTCGACTCTGAATAATCTGGACCTGTCTAGGAGCAGCAAAAGTTCAATGTCAGTTAGTGCCTGTGGCTTGCCCATCGTGGGCCAGAAATGAGACCCACTATTCTCTAATGCCTGCAGGACACATTTCCAGAGAAAGCTTAGATCAGTAGTCAAGATGGCCTTCTGAACCACAAGGGCAGCTCTTCTACTTTCTGCTTCTCATAAGCTGTAGGCATCTCTGTTGTGGGTGATGGGGCTCAGCTGGAACCTGCAGCCATGCATTTGGAGACATCTGAGGGTGGGTGAGAGAGGATGCGGTTCCCACCAGCAACACAGCTATCTCTAGACAGATCTGAGCCACCTGAGGAGTAGACCATCTGTCACCCTGCATATCCTGAGGAGGAAGCAGTGAGTCCCTGAAGCTGAGCACGGACCCAAACCCATGGCACTGCCTTGAAGCTCCCAGTCCCATGGAGAACACTTGTTGTCACTCCTGAGGCTCAGTTCTGTGATGCCTTAGAACTCCTGGTGCAGGCCAGACTGAGGATCTCTACACCTAATCAAGGTGTTGGTTAGCTGTACAATTAGGTATTGATGGACACCATTATGCGATCTAGACCTGAGCCATCTCAGCACGCCAGAACTGGAGGCAGGCTTGGGAAGTCATCCAACTTAACTTCTTGTTCTTCTTATGCAAATAAGAAAGCAAGACACAGCCAGTTAGAGGCAGAGGCAGGACACCAGGCTAGGTGTCCTCACGCCCAACTCAGTAAGTGCTCTTTGCCCTCCATCCTGCCACTGTCTTGGCACGTAGCCACTCTAGGGGAAAGAGACACGGAACGGAACCAGAAACCTAGTCTCTTGGGATCCACACCAGGTACTTACTCCTAACTCCAGGTGGCAGCCTCTCTGCGAACAGCGTCCACGTGAATGAAATCACAACCGAGGGGTTCCCTGGTGAAATATTTTAGATAGATAAATGCCCGGTTGTTGAGCCCACTGTGACTTTTGACTCAAGTATTTCCTAGCCAGAAGGTGACATAAAACAATTACTGATGCTTTCGTTTGGCAAACCATCATCTTAGGAGTTAGACACTTTCTGTTATAACCTCTAATGTCAGTGAAAGGTACACTGTAATTTCTGGCTTCTCCCTTGGTAAGCATGCCACTTAAGCAGCCTGATTGATAGGCTGGGTCAGAGGAGAAAAACATGAAATTGCTACACCGAGTACCTTTTTTTCTTTATATACAGCCAAAAGAGCAGTCACACAGAGCATAATTGTTTATCCAGAACAAATGAAGAAGGAACACTGGCCCCCCTGCTAGTGCCTGATTTTTTCCTATGGCGATAAACAAAGAGAGGAGATGGGGTTCATGAACAACGGAAAGGTGAATGATTAAGGAGGCCTATCCAGGTGGCTCTGAAAGAGCTGCGAACCCGTCACCGAAGGCAGAAAGCCTGTGAATCCAGAGTGGCTGCATTCCAGTAAGGTCTTTTGTTGTTCTGAAATAGGTCCTGTTCTGACAGAGATCTAAAATCTCTGGCAGATGAGTAGAACCCTTGGCAATAAAGCACCCCAGAGAAGGTCTCTAGTCAACAAGGCCCTCTGTGGGTGACAAAAATGACACACAGCACCAGGGAGGAGTGCAAGGGGGGAAGGGGCTGCCGCTGCACCTGGTGAAGGGTACTTGCTGTGGCTTAAGGAATTTTTAATCATGAGAGATACCAGCAGGGAAAAACACCTTTTTGAGTTAATTTGTTGCCCTCAACCTCATTTTCAACTCCAAGCAGGTAAGTAAGTATGGGGTCCTCTGTTCCCATGAATAAAAAGGAAATGGTCTCGGCACTTGAAACTAAGAAAGATGCCAGATAAATACAGGGCGCTTTCCAGATAGGATGCCATTTATCTTCCCAGGAGCTAGAGAGGGCTCTTTATGGATTATACAAGTGGGAGATCCAAGTTTCAGGAGCAAAGCCCTTGCTCCAGGGCCAGAACTGAACCCAAAGGAAGGCAGGAGTGAGCTCTTAGGATGGCCGCAACACTGTGCCTGTCAGCCTGAACATCAGCAGTGTTCGGCATCACACGAACACAGCAGTGTTTACTTACTGTGAGCCGGGTGGGGTCTAAATGCACTTTGATAAAGAGACTTAAACTGTGGGTGCTAAAAGGACCAGGGAAAATTCTACGCAAATGCATACTGCTGAAGCCCTAAGTTGCCAAGACAGATTTCATTTTCAGCTCCTTCATCCAGAGAAATGATCTGCTGAGCGGAAAATGGTTGGGTAGCAGGTTGGGGAGGAGCAGTCAGGGACTCGGTGCCAGGTCAAGAAAGAAGCCAACCCAAAGAGTACGAATCAATTTAATCTCTTTTCGTTTCCCATATATTGTTACTTTCCCTTTATGGTCTCATCAAATATTCATTTTCTAGGGCTTGATTCTACTTTATCTTTCTCTCTTTTGTAGCCTGGATTAGTGAGTCAGAATTCTCAAAGAAACAGGACTCCAAATCAATTATTTGGTTTAATTAGGTGGTATTCATCAGGATTCCAGGGTCTGGGCCTGGCACCTCTGGGGCTGTGCACCCCCCAGCCTCCGGCCAGGCCTGGTCACTGGAATGGGTCATGGTAGGTTGGAAAAGCAGTCACAGGGATGCATGTGGGCTCCTGGGCCCAGCTGCCATTTAGGGTCAGCACTGCATAGAAAAGCAGAGATAGGAAGTGTCTCTTCCCTCCTTTATCAACCAGGAAGTCAAAAACCAGTTGGGGTGATGGGCTGCCTGAGGCTCCCCAGGCCTCTTAGTTTATAGCCATCCCATGTTGTGCTCCAAACTGCTGTAAACAGTTCAGTTTGCATAGTCTACTCTTAAATATCTGCACAGGATTAAAAGTGGGGGCTGTTATGGCCTCTCCCTGGTATGAACCCACACTGTATTCAGTGAGGTGCTGCTAGGCTGTCCCCAGGTGGCCCAGAGCTCTGCCCAGTAGCTCCACCTGTAGCTGGCACTTGGTATTTTACATCCTGTAGAGGCCCTTCTGGAAGAAAGCAGACTGCCAAAGAGAGCTAGGAAACTGAGGGAATGGCCCTAAAGCTCAACAGCTATGGTAAAATCAAGGCAACCACAAGACAGAGATGTGAGCCCTCAGCTGACAGGAACTTTGGCCTACGTCTGACTCTTCTGTGCTGACTCGAAGGCTACAGGCAGAGGAGCTGCGAAGCACAGGCCTGCTTGGGAGGGAAGGAAATTATCCTGGCTCCTTAAAGGCCACTGTCTCCATACTTCCCATCGTGTCAGCTCTCAGTCTCTCAGGACACTCACTCTGCTAGAAGCAGGAGGGAATGTTTTGTCCACCCTGAGAAGGAAAGGGAGCTGGTGGTCTTCAGGGTTTAAATATTTATTTATTTTATATTTTTAGTACTGGGTCTCACTACGCAGCTTGGACTCCTAGCAATCCTCCTGTTATTTACCTCCCCAGCCCTGAGATTATAGGTGTGTGCCACTATGCCTGGTCTCTGTAACCAGCTCAAGGTGACCTAGGGCAGGGCCTGTGCAGTATGTAGTGCTGGGGATTTAAACCCACTTTCCTAAGCAGGCGCTTAATCTGCTGAGCTATCTCGCAGGCCCAGACTTCGGGGTTTATACTTGGATCTTTTCTGCATCAGAGTGGAAGGAGAGATTGCCCTGTTTTTAAGGTGATTGCTTTTAAACTGGTGGCTCAGTGTTGGAAGAGATAAAGATTTAGTTTTGTGTGTTAGAAACATTTCTAACTTTATTCAGCTCTCTAGGTGTAGTAAGTCTGTAGCCCATGAAGATGAAGTTGCAATCATCCAACTGTCTAGGATGGACCAGGGTATGTGGTACTGAAAATAAAGTTTGAAGCTTTCCTGGCCACCCCTAGGTTCCAATCCACTTGAGAATAAGCAAGCCCAGGGACTACCAATGTGATAAATCACAGGATTTTGAATTGGTGGGGTTAGGTAGAAGTAGGTGCAGACTGAATGTTGCTCAGAGGAACATCTTCTTTGCAGGTGGGCGAGAGGTGACAGGCCTCAGATTACGTAGCGGGTCAGGGAGGGCCAAGTTTGGAACCCAAGTCTCAGGACTTGGGGTCCAGCGCTCTCTGTCAGAACCTAGCCCCAAAGCTTTAGCCCGAAAGTGTGACACCTAGAGGCGATACTCCCTTCTGCAACAATTTTGAGAACCACGTTCCTAAGGGGCGGAATCTGTTCTTTAGCTGTCTCTATCCAAGCAATGAAAACTGCCAAGTGACTGCCTGGCTTGAGCCTTAGAGAACCTACTGTTCTGACAGGCAGAGGATTTCTTGCCAAGTTCTGATCTCACCCCCTGGGGACTATGTCCTAAAGGACTAACTTGGCCCAGGGACACTGTGAAAGCTTTTCAGGCCTTGCATCGTGGCCTGCTATGAAGACTTCTTTAAAGCTGTTATCTTCCAGTAAGAAATCAATGTTGCTGGAAAAACACATAACAGGGGCTTTGTGTCAGGCAGCCTTCACCTTATTCCCCCCTCCGCCTGTTACACACCTGGTGAGAAGCGTGTGGCCCCCAGAACTTCTTTCCCACAGAAGGCCGAGGGACCTGCAGCAGCCGCCTGCCATTCTCCAGCCCACGCCACCATGCAGCAAGCATGCCAAGGGCCAGGCAACCTCACCCACCTCTTTGAAGGATTTCTTTACCTCCACCAAGGAGTGCCAGTGTGCGATGGGCTTCCGAGGGTATGCCAGCATCTCGTTCCAGTGGTCCCTGCCCAGGCCTTCAGCATTGATGCCCACGCGACAGACGCCTATGATCTCATTGTGGCCCACCCTGAGGGAGAAACACAGGACTCTGGATCAGCTGCCGGACATCCTCCCAGAAAGGAAGGTTCTGGGGGTGGGGCCCTGCCCAGTGGGTCTCAGTCAGAACTGCGAGCTCTCAAAACTGGTGCTTGGCATGGCCTCGAGGTGTCAGTGGTTGTGAGGCTTTGCCCATGCTCTTCCGGTGGACATTGGACACAGAGAGATGAGCCAAAAGATACACTTGTTTGGAAACTCAAGAAATGGTGGCAGCTTCTCCTCACTCTAGGGGCTTGGGGAGCTTTTCTCTCCCCTTATGTGACTTGACCAACACTTTACAACCTCACTGGAGATATCAGCATCTACAAATAAATAACCCTGATCTGAGTACCGTTTCTCCATACCCCCAGTGGCTGGGGTATGATTTATTCACTCAGAAACAGCATGAATCATCACTCAAGTATGTCTGTCAAGCACCTACTATGCTGAGAACTTGAGCTAAAAATCCAGGACTGAGTATGTACCGCATGGATTTCATCTCCTTCGAATGAAATGACAACTGGAAAAAGGGAGCAAAGGGGCGAGAGCAGCTGGAAAACCATTTTGAGTCAGTCTTGCTGGGAGTGCAGGGTAAGCGAAAGACAGGTAGCGGAGAAAGGGGCAATCAGGTTGGATGGATACGCTGGCTCCAGATTAGGAAAGGTCTTGAGAGTGCTAGGACGAGCTGAGAGAATAGGAACCACTGATAGTTATTCTGGGCAGGTCCAGAAGAAGGAACCCCAGAAGGTGCGTCCTTAGTCTGCAGAGAGTGCACAGCCATCCTGGAGTAAGATCAGAAGTAGCCACAGAAACGGAGAAGATAAGGCATTTAACAGAACAGACGCTAGCACTGGTTGCCAGGACTCTGGGGACAGTGATGCGCGTGAAGTTACTTCAGATGGAATAGCTAGGAAAGACAATGAAGCCCTTGGCTAATGGGGAGTCCATAAGCCTCCTCAAACTCCTGTGCCCTTCTTAGGTGGAGCCAGATTTGAGTTCAGAAGCCATCTGAGCCCAAAACCATAGGTCAAGGAGCCTGACACTGAATTGGACTAGAGGAGTGGCACAGAGGGTCACGTCCCTTGGGGACTATACCTACCGATCATAATCCATTACTGAGATGAGCAGGCTGACTTGATCCATATTCTCTGGGGGGATGTCAAAGATGATGGCCTCATTGTAGACAGGATTGAGCGTGTTCTTCTTTATGGTTGTTTTCTTTTTCTTCAGCCTCCGCCCATCACAAAGCAGGGACACTTTGACATAGGGATCTGCGCCAACAGGGGCAGTGCAAAGGGAAGGGAGCGTGTTAAACAGATGTCTTCCGGCATCATTTGCAGCAGAGGGATGGAAGCCCCAGACCTACTGCTGCTCATCAGATGGTATCAGTGGCTTATTAAAATAATTACACCACCTTGTATTTATGTAGCACACCTGTCTCTGAGGATGCTCGTGCTTAATGAACACAGTCTTGAGCTACCTCAGTATTCTTGGGAGAGTGCCTAATGGACTTTCTCTAATAGGGCAGCTGAAGCCACTTCAGACAGGACTCTTCTCTGTGGAGAAACACTTCCCAGTTCTAAATTCCAGCTCCACCATGGCTCGGTGGTTGGCTCCTGAGGGTGTTGAACAATGACACTGTCTCTCACCTACATGGAGTCCTTGTCTCTGGGATATTTAATCAACAGATAAAGGGGGTAAAAATAGAACTCCGTGATGCTCAGAGAATAGCTGCATGTCAGAAGAAAATGAAGAGCAACAATCACATTGCTGTTCGTGCCCCTCCCCGCCTGACAACATGATTTTGACTCTCATTGTCCCAGTAATCTCATTTCCATTCGGCATCACGAAGAGGGCCTGCTCTTTGCCTCATTGAAGCTGTCCCTATTCACTTCTGAACAGCAGAGGAGGAAGGAGCTATGGCTGGGAGACAGAGCGGGGCAGGCCCCTGAGACTCAGGGCAGCTGGTTGACATTTCATTTCTCAGTGGGATCTTGGATGCTGTCCATCCTGCACAGCAATGTCTTTTTATTAAACTTCTGCTGTGCCTCCCAATCTTGTCTCTTTTATAGATTCCTGAATAGGTATTTCATGGTCATCTTTCTACCCTGAAATTTTCTACTCATCCAAATGAAGTGACACGCATTGTGTCTCCAAGCACAGGTGTCTTGGTCGCCATCATAATTAGTATTTATGTCACCCAGCTCGAGAAACAAGAGGGCAGCTCACCGTAATAATAGCCCTTGAGATGCTGATAGGCGGAGGCACCTTCTTGCCCAGAAGCCAGGGCTCACGCGGGCTATCTGGACACCTGAGCACCCACTTGGGCCTCACATTCCCGAAATTCTACACGAGGCAGCCGAGTGCGCAACTGTGCCGGGGACCAGGAAACTGCAGCACCTCATTGGAGGCTCTGCACCTTCCGCAGCAACTAAATGAGCTGCTGACTAACCAGTGTGACAGTGGCAGCTGTACTTTAACCGAGGGGATTGTACAGTCTGTGGAGGAACTGGGGAGACCAGGAAGAATTTAACCAACCCGCTGTCTCTGACTACCCATTTGTAAGCACCCCTTCTTGGGAGAGTTTTCAGTCAAACAGGTGAAAAGAGTTTCCAGAACCTGTCTGAGAAAGCTTTCCAGTTTCCGCAGGCTCCAGGCCCTTTGAATCTACCCCAGGTCAGGCAGACATGTGGGAAGAACTGGCCCCAGGACCTTTTTTTGGCACTGAACCCTGAGGGTGCATGTTGCCTGGGAAAGCATCCACCCCAATTGTTCTGCTATTCCCATTTCCACACACTCTCACTCAGAGAAATTCCCATGTCAGAAGCTTGGAAAAATATAGGCAGAGCTACTCTGCTCATGGGCCATTGGGCAAATGCCTCTTTCCTCAGCTCTGTTCACCCCACCAGGCATATGCGATTATCTATAAATTTCAGTGGGTACACTTCCCTAGTAGGAACCCACGCTCTCCCGGGCACTCGCTAAGCTAAGCGGAGAGGACTGCTCCCTGGGGTCCTCTGGGCTGAAGCTCATGGTGTCTGGTAGGATGCTGGCCCCAGAGGATCTCTGAGGACTGTTTCTCTCTCTGGCTGAGGTGGCACAAAGCCTGGCAGTGTATTTCAGCCTCACTGCCCTAGGAGCCTTCAGAATTGAGCATTTGGTATGTACTATGCACTGTGCTAAGAAATGTACATACATAAAGATATTTAAACATCAACTCTATGGAATACTTGCCATTGACATCCCCATTTCTTAAGGAGGAAATCTAAAGCATAGAAGGATTAGACACTTGTCTAAGATGTGAACTCATGTCTGACACCTAAGCTCACCTTCTTGGCTAAGCGGTATGGAGCAGCTGTGGGTTAAGTCACCAAGTTCTCGTAGCATGTGGGCCCTTACTACTACTGTGTGTCATTTTTATTAGCATGCTTCTAGCAGGCAGGCCTGGAGAATAGGTTCTGGGCTGGTGGTACAGATTGAGGAAAATGAGAGGAGCCTCAGTTTTAGAACTCAGTGCCACATAAAGCTAAACAGGGATTAATAAGCTCCACTCACCCCCACGTTAGTCCAACTTCAAACAAGTCTGGGCTGAAAGCAATTTCAAACTCAAGCTACCGTGTGAGAGGGCTCTGGTGTGTACCCATCGATTGCATGGCCCTCAGGCCAGGGTCCTCATGCTATAAACTCATTCATTTACTTATTCATTCATTCATTCATTCATTCATTCATTCATTCATTCATTAATCTATATTTAATGAATGCTTATGTGCTCCAGGCACTGGGCCATATACTTACCTACATCAGGGAGCAAAACAGACAACATCTCGGCTACAAAGAGGACCCCTGAATTTTCAGAAGCTAGCTCAGATTCAAGACCACCCAAAGAGGGGCAACTGTGAACAGACTGGAATTTAACATAAAAAGAGTCCTACCCCCAGCCTTCTGACTTGGAATGGCCTTTGCGATTACCTGTGGCTTTACTGTGGGTGCTCTCTCTCCAGCACATCAATTTAATTACACCAGAGAAGATAGTGTGGGGACTAGGGAAGCAAAATCCTATTTCCCTCACAGCCTGGAGAGTCCTCAATGAATTTCTATCGCCAGAACACACTTACTTTGCTCTTAAAAATGAAATCCACATTGGCTGTGTTTTGGGGGAAGCTGCTCTGCTGCTCTGAGGAATTTCTGCATGTCAGCAGAGATTCTGTAAGCTCTTTGCTATGTCCTGATATGTGTCAGCAGCTTCAGCAGAGCAAGGAGCTTGAGGGGGCCTGCTATGGGGCTCGCAGCCTGCAAGGCAAGGGCAGTGTCACCAAGACAACTGGCCGCCGGAGTCAAGGCTCAGAGGGAGGCCAGACTGTGGTCTGCACTCCTACTGTGTCTGCCATCCCCATTCCCTGCAGCTTTAGTTTCCAAGGCTTGAACCTGCCCTGCTCTTCTTCCCCCAAATGAGGATGTTACACTTGAGCTCAGAGGTTTTCCGCTGCAGCCCAGATGTTTTCAGCTTCACTGTTGCCTCTTTACGGCAACTGTGATTATTCTAAGGGAGTTTCCCAAGATGTAAATAATAATACATATGAAGGAAATAGAGGGAGAACTCTTTAGTGTCATTGTGGTCAAGTTCAGAGGCACTTCCTGAGTGGCTTTAAGTTGGTTTCAGGCATCAGCAAAAGGGTCCCTTGGGTCTGGAGAAGCGGAGTCTTTTCTCCTGTTCACTGTCCTAAGGGCAGCCCAGAGGGCTCTACCAGCCTTCTTTGTGCTTGTGACCCTACTTATACCTGGGGCAGTCTGAATGGACAGCAGGGGAAGCAGCTGTCTGGGCCTCAAGCTACTCTTCTGTTGCCTCCAAATTCACACACCTTCACAGCTCGCAGCTACCCCTAAACACTTCTTGCATCACTGTCATCTGCCATAGCTCCACTCTCCTGGTGCTGAGACTGGGGCTGGGGGCCCTGCAGGAAAACTCAAACGTAAATGCACGTTGCTTTTCTG